GGGGGGGGGGGGGGGGATAATGAGACCGTCTACCGGTGCACATCTGATTCCCGATTATGATGTGCAGCTCCAAAATTTCTGACAAGATATCATTGAAACCGAGCTATGAAGAAAAATATCGACATTGCACTAAAAATTAGTGTGTCAAAAGGAAAGAGGGGGGGGGGTAGGGTATAACAAAAATTTTGGACAAATTCCAAGGTAACAGGAAATACCGTAATTATAAAGAAATTCATATTTATTTATTTTCACGCAAAGACCTGAGTTCAGCCTGTCATAAAAATCACGGAACAATACTCTTTGTAAATAAGAAGAAAGAACCGTGATTCGATCGTGGGTACGATACTACTAGGATGCTCAGGCCAGGGAAGGTGAATTTTCTTGAGGAATCCACTACCGGAGCTCTCGGATAACCAAAGCCAGACCCTCAAGGCAACGGAGCGCTATGTGAAAACCGCCATCCGTTGGGGGCCGGTGTCCAAACCATCGGGTCATACGCCTTTTGGACGGAGTCAAACGTCCAAGGTGCCCAATACACTTCGATGCCTGATTGAGCCGGTGACCACTGTCTTAACCGGGAAGGTGCGTGTGTGGAGGGGAGGGGGTCGTACGCCTTTTCTTGGTTGGTCTGGAATCAGGTTTTTTAGCCAACTGCCCATGGTTCACCAACCCGGTTACAGCCCCGGGTTTTGGCTTTTCGTCCTCTCGCTTTGGTGAGAAACCACCTCCATCACAGGACGGTAGCGAGTAGGGCCTTCTTGGCCGAAGCCGCTTGATCGTATGGGAGAATTTTACGAAGTGCAAGGGAGGGGTGACCAGCTGCAACCCGAGACACCCGCCGCCGACAACACGGAGGCTTTTGGTGGCTAAACAAAAGAAGTTTAAAAACCCTTTTATGAGATCGGTCTGAAAGGCAGAAAATATTCAGAACACGGTTCAATGTATCAAATACGTAAGAATGTGCTATACTGTCATGCTAGAAGCAGAGGTTACGGTGACTGATAACCTTCATTCGGATAAATCATTGATCTGTACTGCACTCAGATCCGGTCAACCGCGAAAATAACCAGCGATGTCTCGAGACAGATACTCGCGAACATCCGTGAATTGCTGGAGTGCGGATGGTCACAAAACGACTCGCAAATCGTTTTTAAGAACCGAAACAAACTGATTTGTCGATTGCGAAGTTTATTTGTTTTTTTTAAAGAGTTTCCATTGTGAGTCACTGAAAACGTACTTGATTGTTGCTCTTTCCTAAATAAAGACACCGTGTGATATCGTTCAGACTAACCTGACGAGATAAGGAGAATTTTCAACGACCAATTTATGACGCAATCCAACCAGTAAGAACTGAGCTTCTTCATTCAAAGAACACCCTGATCGAGGAGTTCGACACCGAGATTGACCGCCAGCAGGCGTTGCGGCGCAACTCGGAGTTGGCGTGGACCCCCTGTAGCATACCGTGGCTCCGCATGCCCTGTTTGGTCGAGCGCTCCCGACGTTGGACGGTGCCGTGCGTTCGGAATTAGTGCCCGATCGTTTCATAAACAGCCTGCCGGAAGACTTGCGGGAGACGGTATGGATAGTAAATGCCCAGAAGACCATAAATTTACTCAAACTGGCGGATGTCCTGATGGAGTTCATCCGGAAGAAAGTCACTCTAGTCTGGTCAACTAAAGGCCCTGGACACTAGCCTACAGGAGTTATGGCCAATCTCAACAAACTAACGGAGCAGTTGGCGGCCATCCGAACGGATTACACCCAGAAAGCTTTCGAGAAGGGGAATTCGGAGCGCGAAGAGCCAGAGTGCTGACAGGAAAATTGCCCCGAAACACAGTGGTCCGTGAGAGAACCCCTGATTTCATTCAAATCCTTGTCCCCAGACAAAGCTCCCTCCGGAACGGCTGACTGTTGTTCAGTCCAGACCCATATGTGGAGATGAAGGATCAGAAAGTGCCATGTTTGTGTGACACATGTGTTGCTGTTTACATGGTAGAACTTCAGTCAACTGAGTCAGTAAAAGCCTCGGATACGGCAGTGAAGACTGACGGCGAAAACAGGCCCCATTTTGACAGCATAACAAATCGGATTATCCTCATTGAGAACATGACGGACAAACGAAATTATCAGATTACTATACAAAACGATGAGCAAGGTAGGAATGCCGGTGGAACGGAAACCAGGCACACACACTTTCAAAGTGTCGGAAGCAAATTTCAAGAGCCATGTCGGATACCTTGGCTGCCAGATTAGAAATATTATGTAGAATACGGAAAGAGCATCTAGTGAACAAAGTTCAGGAGACGAACGTTAAGATGTATGCGTACAAAAGTGAACACGCTGGATGACGCTGGGACCATGGTTGTACGCCAAAGAGTCATCAGAAATCAATCTAATAATCAGGTTACCAAAAATGAAGCATGAAACGGCAAGAAGTTTGCAACCGAAAACAGACCCGTTCGAATCCGCAAAAGAAAGACGTCATTGCTCACTGCATACAGAGTTCATTTTCGCCGGGGAAGGTGTGTTGTTAGGTATCACTCACATTTGTGAATGGTATGCAAAATGGTGCGGCTAGTGGTTTCTTTCAACTGTTAAAAATGAACAAAACCTGTTGGAGCGAATTACTTCTATTCAGTATGGTAACTACCAGAATGTGCATCTACTGTTGGACCGGTCTATTAACCGTCCTGTTCGTGTGTAGGAATCCTGAAAATCGTTGCAACTGAGACATTTTGTTGTATGTATGCCAATTCATCGATACCCTGACCGCAATACATAATAAATAACTATCCCTGCTCAGACATCGCCTTGTGGATTTCTAATGTTGTGAGATACTACTCACTTGTGAGTAGTAGGTAACTTCCAATGATCAAAAATATAACAAGACCACCGAGGGCAAACGGATGTCAGAAAGAATAACTACCGACTGCCCTATGAATTATTCGATGTGCCGCCAGGAACAACGATGGTGTGTTTCTGATGAGACGTTTTGTGTTACATATGGCAAATCGATGATATCCCATCGGAAATCCTCCATAAACGAATATGCTCGACCAGCACGCCTTTTGGAATTATAACAATAACACCGTGAGGCAAGATCGGGTGAATTTGTGCGCATTTCTGCCGCCCAACCAATGTGATCAGTTTATTCACAAAAAACAAGCAGATAGCAATTTTTACACTAAAAATCAGGAGGACAACTTGGACATCCGGCGGAATTGTATGCAACAATTGTAAGACCACACAAATTTTTGGAATTCATGCTTGAAGAAGCATACATACCGTTTGTTCAGTGGAGGGACCCGACGGAACTCGTCATCAGATAGTATCGATTAACGAAAACAAATCATTTTCACGATCAACAGAAGTTAGTAGTTAAAACCTATTGTCCGGTAAAAGCGGTGGGGGGGGGGTCACGTGAAGTCATTGTACACAATCGAGGAGAGAGACACTGAAATTTCGCTCAGCCGTCATTCGGATCAGGATACGGACAGAGACAGTCCAGATACGGAGGAGTGATGAGGTGAACCGATAGTGAATGAACAATACACATTGGACTAGCACGTTTTTCCGGTTCGATAAAAAGTTCACATATTCGGGTCGAAGAAAAAGCAACTCTACCAAGATTCAACTTCGCCAAGAGTGGTGATTGAACATCGGAAGAAAAGAATACATCGCACAATAGATGATACACGCGGTCGAAAGTACAAATTGGTCTGTCTGTTGAAGAGAAACAGGTGGTGG